TTTGGTTCTCTCATGAAAAACTGGGTTCTTGGCAATATGAAGTGCTGATTGGTTATCACAATGAAGTGTGATTGGCTTGAGATTGGAGACGCGTAGTTCTTCCAGTAAGCGCAGCAACCAGGTAACCTCTGAAGCAGCCTGAGACATGGCCCTATACTCAGCTTCAGAAGAAGATTTGGAAACAGTGCTTTGTTTCTTGGACTTCCATGAAATTGGAGAACCTCCAAGAAGGACAATATAGCCAGTAACAGATCTTCTGGAGAAGGGACAGGAGGCCCAATCAGAATCAGAAAAGGCATGAAGAGATAACTGGTCAGAAGCTTTCATTAGAATGCCTTGATTTATGGTACCAAGTAAGTAATGAAGAAGATGAATGGCACCCTTCATGTGATCAGCCTCAGGAGCTTGCATGAACTGACTTAAGATCTGGACTGAATATGAGATATCAGGCCTGGTGTGTGCGAGGAAATGAAGCTTGCCTATCAGACTCCTATACGGAGTGGGATCGGAACAAAGAGAAGATGTACCATGTTGAAATTTGAAGTTCTGAGGAAGAGGGGTTTTGGCAGGTTTGTCATGTAAACACTGGTGCTCAGCAAGAAGTTCCTGGACAAATTTTCTTTGAGAAAGTACAATCCCTTCTGAAGTATAACTGAGTTCAAAACCAAGAAAGTAATGAGCAATACCAAGATCCTTGATAGTAAAACGATCATCAAGGAATTGTTTGAGGGAAAGAACAGCTTGAGGATCTGACCCAGTCACAAGTATATCATCAACATAAACAACAGCAAGGGTGATATGGTTGTTGGAGTATTTGATGAACAAGCTTGGATCAGATTTGGACTGGACGTATCCTTGACTGTAAAAAGCAGTAGAGAGCGTGTGAAACCATTGTCTACTAGCCTGACGAAGGCCATAGAGAGATTTCTTTAGTCTACATACTTTGGTGGAAGGTTTGGGAAATCCCAAGGGAATCTTCATATAGACTTCATCTGTCAAATCCCCATGCAAGAAGGCATTGTTGATGTCAAGTTGAGAGAGCTCCCAATGTTTAGAGGCAGCTAGAGCTATAATGCAGCGAATGGTAGACATTTTCACTACAGGGGAAAATGTTTCAGTGAAATCAATCCCACATCTTTGGTGATTTCCTTGAATGACAAGCCTGGCTTTAAACCTTTCTAAACTGCCATCAGATTTGAGCTTTACTTTATAAATCCATTTGCTAGAAATAGCCTTCTTTCCAAGAGGAAGGTCAACAAGTTCCCAAGTATCATTAGCCTGCAAAGCCATTATTTCTTCATTCATAGCAACAATCCACCTAGGATCCTGGGAAGCCTCAGAATAGGAAGTAGGTTCAGTGTAGGAACAAAGGTGGGTGAGAAAAGCTTGATGATTGTGGGAGAGGTGATTAAGATGAACAAAGTTGCACCAATGAGATGTTAGAGATTT